TCTGCAGAGCCTTCCTGCCCTCCAGCAGAATGTTGGGATGCTGCCCGTGGTGGCAGCATGCGAGGGGCTGCTCTTCATCCGCACCTCTCCGGGGTTTCCTGGCTCCTTATGGTGGCCTGTTGTCCCCTGCCTCCTCGCAGGGCTGTCCCCAAAGCTTTGGTGCAGGCAATGGAGCTGGTTGGGAACCAGGGACAGTTGAGAACCAGGCACGCCGGCCTTGGGGAGGAGCCCGGCTCAGGTGAAGTGTCAGTGCGGCCCCAGAGAAGGCTGGTGGTTGCGTGCATGACTTGGATGCAGGAAAGTTACTGGGGAACTTTGTGCCCAGTCTTACAAACCAGTTTGGAAGCCGGACTGGTGGTCTTGGAGAGAGCAATTCCTACATGGAGTGGGGCGGGTAGCTTCAGAGCCAGCTTGTGCCGAGAAAAGATCCCTATTTCTCCCGTCCCCCTGTTAAGGAGCACACGGTGAGCAACCGGACGCTGCTGCGGCACGGAGGGCAGATGCAACAGGCTGTGTCTGCCCGGTGGCTGCCGTTTCGGGAGACGGGCTGGCTGCGAGGGGGAAACCTGTCCCTTATTAGTGTTACTTGCTACAAAAAATGCCCCCACTCGGGCTTTTCCTACTCAGAGAGGGCTTTAGGAAGGGTGAAGCCATTCTCACACAGCACGGAGAAAGCCGGTCTGGCTTGGGGAGCACTTGGGCGCGAGGCCGTTCCGGGGAGGAGGAAGAGGAGGGCCGGCGTGGGCGGCAATGCTAATGTGGCTCTTCCACTGCGGCAGCTCCAGCCGAGGAAAGGCGCTGGTCCAGCGCCTCCTGCCCGTCTCCTGCCTCCAGGCAGCTGCACCGCCTCCTCCTCCCCCGGCCGTGGGATTTAAGGCGGGGTACGCCAGGGTTGGGGTTTCCCCTCTCTGCTCTGGCACCCCACCAGCGTAATCAACACTTCCCCGCACACGGGCGTTGTGAGCTGCCGGGAGCTGACTCCCAAATAACCAATCCTGCTTTTTTTTTTTTTTGGAACAGAAGAACTGCTCCAGGATAAAGTTGCTCATACTCCTGCGTGGTTTGAAAGCATTTACACCCAACGAGCCCCAACGTAATGGTTATTCTGGGCTTGTCTTTCCCATCTGCATCCCCTGAGTAAACAGCAAGCAGCGGAAGGTAGTTTGGACCTAAAACGCAGGAATTAATTTGGAAAAGGCAGAGGGGAAGGTGATGCTTGTGCATCTGGCCCCTGGCAGCTGATTTCCTCCCTGTGCCCGAGCAGGGGGATGCGAAAAGACAGCACCCACATCCCTGAAATACCGGGGAGGATGCAGGCAGTGGCGACAGTGACTCAAAAAGGAATTCAGCCATGGCCTGAAATCCATGCGGTGCTCCGGGATGTGCTGAAAAAGGTGTGGTGGGAGGGTGGAAATAGCACGCTCGTCGTTACCCTGATTTAATTGACGATCAGGACAGTGAGCGGCAGAGCTGTGTCTGCGGGGGGGACCTGCATCCCCTTGGAGCTGTTGTGGCCGCTCGGGCGATGCTCAGCTGAGCTCCCTCTCTCTTTGTCTCCCCTCCAGCTCGCCAACAAAGCGCGGACGGAGAAGGAAGAGAAGATGAGCCAGGCGTATGCAATTAGTGCTGGTGTCTCTCTGGAGGGGCAGCAGCTCTTCCAGACTATACATAAGACGTAAGTTCCCTTGTTGGTGTCACC